GAACATTCTCTAAGTGTAGAGTTAGATCTATGGGAGGAGGAGGAGGACCAAATGCAAGACCAATCACTGTCTGAAATATTAATACAAAGTTCAGTTTCCCATCCCCTTTTAACCTCAAGGCCAATACCATAGACATTGCTTATCATCCAATCATAAATTTTAGCTGCATGTCCTTTTAATGAATTATAGGGCTCTTTCAAAGTGTAATAGTGCATTGGGGGAATTCCTTTAGATACATAAGGCTTGTAACAAATATAGTTACTTATTCCAATTAACTCTGGTCACCCTAAGTTGCTAGAAAAGATGTTCTTACTTCTGGGTTTGGCCCTTAAAAATCTTTTATTTAAAAACACCCCTTATTTCCCAATTCTCAACTTGTCAGAAAAAATATCAGGGTGGGATTGAAAGGATTAATTGGTGGTGGCCTGGGGTGTAATACGGTACATCAATCTATTTTTTCAAGATATCTAAAGAATTCCTTAGGAAGGGGTTGGAAATCTCTGCTAGTATTTTTTTGAAAAAAGATTACTCCAAATGGCAATCCTTGCTTCATAGGTGAGTTCTTCTGAACTTCCAAAGTCAACCCATTTAGTTGTGAAATTGTGTTTGATAATTTGAACAAGCTGATTCACTTGAAAGGCTGAATAATATAATTTAACATCTGTTATTGTCAAAACCTCATGTGCTGAATGTGTGTGCTGAACTGATTTTACAGATCTGAGATTTTATTTTATTTTAATTTTTGCTATCAAATATGAATCTATTGAAGACTTCTTGCTAATTCAGAAATCTTTGTTTTAAGGAACATAACGGGATAATTTAAAACAGAGAAAACACTCATTGCATTGAGAACATTTTCTCTAGAGTGATATGACCAAGAAGAGAAAGCTTTAAGATAGATCATGCTGTCATTATGATAAAGTAGTTGATATATATAGATAGAGATTATAATATCAAGATACTTAAAACCCAATAGGTTTAAGTGCAGCTTAGTTATTGCCTGCCAATGTAACTGTTACTTTAATTGTTCACTTAGGCACACAATAGTTGACTTACTAAAATGTATTCAAATACCAGCATGCAAATCAAACAAAGTAAGAATCCTTTTGAGATTGCTATAGGCCTTACCAACTTTAGTTAAAATCAACAGAAACACATGTGAATAAAGAGGTTTTTTGCTAGTGACTATTTATCTTTTCTGTTGGTGGCCATTTATATAGTTGGGCCTTTGATTTTGGGGTTCTGATTTAG